GAGCATATATGTGTGTGAGTTATGGGGGAAGCGTAAGGCGTGGGGTGGTTCTATTCCCGCGCAATTCTAGGTGTTGGGTATTTATGGCCTCTGAGGTGTGTCCAATTTTGATGGCCAACCGGGAGGAGGTCAGCAAGATGATCAATCTAAATGTTCGAGAATGCGAAACCTGCGAATTCCTCTGACACGCTGATTTACGATTTCCTTACATCGTCACCAGGATTATCCTGAATTGCTAGACAGGTTTGAGGCTATTAATGCGGTATTCATCAGTGTGTCCTTCCACATCTTTGCTTATTTTTTGGATGCATCAAATGATGGTGGAGGTGGTGGTGGTGCCCAACATGCGAAATGTCATGAGTGCTTGTAAATTCCTTTCTCCTCTGACTCGATTATCACTTACTTACACGAAAGCTTAAACAACTTCATCGCTCTTATTCAGTATTCCGCTCACCTGTAAAAATCGTAGAACAAATACTCTTCGACAAGAAAATAGCTTAGAAGTATCACTTTTGAAACCTCATCCTAATTTCACTAAAAATGAAGCACTAATTCATTGAGCATATTTATTAGGGTAAATCTTAATGTCTATTTTTAATGCTGACTATCACTGAAGAACACCTAAAAGGCCCATTTGGGAAGTACAAGCTGCGACTGCGTTGACATGATGCATATTTGCGGGTGTTTTAGGGAATGCAGAACAACTTGATCGCCTGTGTAATCGTCGTCTTCCTCTGCATCATCTCCTCCAGCATTGTGGGCACCGTCAGCGTCCTCGCTCGCATGGTACCCGCAGCCATGGTCAACGCCTACCTCTACCTCACCGCCTGCAAGTTCACCCCCTCAGTTGTTACTCGACCCTGTCACTATGCCAGTTTTGACAGCTTCATTACCATTGTTACGAGGTTGGTTTAAGGAGGCAATTAAAATGGCTAGGACTCATTTGTAGTTTTTGATTTGGTCACTCAATGTTTACTTCTTAATTGTTCTCTGCATTTGCATAATTTGTTAGGATACCTGACTTTTAGTAGGCATTTTATGAAAATTAGTTATTGTTTAATTTTATGTGTCTAGTTGGCCTGAG